AGGAAGGAAGGAAGGAAGGAAGGAAGGAAGGAAGGAAGGAAGGAAGGAAGTCAGGCAACTAAGATGAATTTCCCAAGGATTTCTCAATGTTTCAGATTTTTAATCATTAAAAGAAACTTTCATACAATCTTCCTCTCTCTCTTTTTTGCAAATTGCTGTAACCATAGAAACCTGGATGAAAGACCATGAGGATGGTTCTGATGGCACTCTCGCTTTCTATCCTGGGTCTGTGAAACTTTGCAATTTCTTTTCTTAATCTGTTATTTATTCTTTGACAATTTCACACATGTATACGATGTATCATGATCACCTCCATCCCCAGCTCCTCCCTTCCACTCCTAACACATGCCCTGCCCACCCTCACACCCCGGTCCTCTCTAGTACACTGAGTTCTGTTCATGCTGCCTGATGGAATGTTGACTGATCTTGTTGGCTGGCTCTTGTTTAGGTCTTAACCACAGCTGCAGTGAGTTCTTGAGCGCAAAAGCCATGTCACACCCAGAAGACAGCATGTCACAGCACTCCTCGCCGTCCTCGGCCTCTGAGAGCTTTTCTGTCCTCTCTGCTGTTCCCTGAGCCTTGGGGCGGGGCGCTGACAGAGATGTCCCATTTAGGGCTAAGCGGTCAGCAGTCACTGATCCTCGGCACTTTGACCAGTCGAGAGTTCCTGCGTTAGCATGATGTCTGCTTCTGAAGTTTACGGTTCTGTTTCCCTGAATCGTAACGCCAGGTTGGAACTGGAAGTAATGGCGTGAGCATGTTTTCATCTCCCCCAGATCCACTCCCCACCCACACTTGCTCTAACCTACTCTCTCTCTGCCCATTCCCCACTCCTCCCAGAACTCAAGGTTTGCAGGTCAAGGGTCCGCTGACAGCAACCGTACCTACTGGGGTCTGCCCTTCTGGAAACGCACCATGCCCAAAAGGAACAGCATGGAGAAGCTATAGGAAGAGCCAAACAGAAATTAGCTGCACCCAACAGGCAGCAGCCAACACCTGTGTGTGGCTCCATTGGCTTCTCAGGGATGGAGGCTGTTTGGCCCACAAAAATTCTGTTACTTGGCACACAACACATTTGTATTGGGGTCTTGGATAAGAGGAAAAACCTCTTCTGGGGGAATACCTTGGTGTTATCCTAACCAGGGGCAAGAAAGCATTCCTGGTTGGCCTTAGGTCTGGTACTGCTGACACCCCAGTTCTCGCCTGTGCAGCCATCTTTCTGGTCACCTTTGAAACCTTCCTTGCCTGGAGCCAGGCACCCCTGAAAGCACCTTTCATATGTAAATATGGTCTCCAGCCACCCTCCTGGTGGCCACAGGTGATGGCCTCTGTATAATTCCATAGGTGAGACCCAAAGACTCACACAGTGGTGGCATAAGGATCTGCACCAGGCCCTCTGATCCTGGGTCCTGAGCTTGACTCCTCTCCTAGGCCACAAAGACCTGTCCTTATGCAGGGAAGTGACAGTGAAACCTTCTCATGGTCATGATGGTGGTGAGCAGAGTCCTGTAGTGGGGGATGAATCTGGGCATTAAGGACAGTGCCAGACACTAATGGGCCCGAAGCAAGGGACATGGATGTACCCAGGTCAAGGACTCAACCATCTCAAGAACAGCTGGTTATTGTGAGCTGCTACACCACCCCAGTGACCCCTAGGTCTGCTTTGCAGCCCTCAGAGCCAAAAGCTGGTCCAGTCCAGTGGACTCTGTGCAAAGGAGATGAAGAACTGGGAGTTCTTAAAGAGCAAAAAGCTGGAACCACTGAGCTGTGCACGTAACTCAGGTGGTAGAGTGTTTGCTTAGCATGCTTGAAGCCCTGAGTTCGTCCCCATCCTCAGCACCACACAAACAATGTGGCACACCCCCGTAAGCCCAGCACTCAGAGACTGAGGCAGGGACATCAGAAGTTCATAGTCGTTCTTGGCTCTATAGTGAGTTTAAGGCCAGCCTAGGATACAGGAGATCCTGTCTAAAAACAAAAACAAAATAAGTCCTAATAGGATGAGGGAAATGGATTTGTGGGTAAAAGCTCTGGCTAAAATAGCCTGACAACCTGAGTTCCTTTCCTGAAACACATGTAAAAGAGGCAGAAGCAGTGGCCCACATCTGCAGTCTCAGCACACCTGTGGAAAGATGGGAAGAAGAGGGGAGTGAGAGACAGGAGCAGAGGGCCAGCGAGACTGGAGTTCACAGTGCAGCAGCAGAAACAGCAAGAAACCCTGCCTCAGCAAGGTGGAAGGTGAGAAGTATCTCCCACATGTGTGTGCCTGCACACACACACACACACACACACACACACACACACACACACACACACAAATAAAAGCAAGTAAAATTTAAAATAATTTCATCATCACAAAGAACAAACAAAATCTCCTCCATGGTCCTAAGGAAAGATTAAGAAGCAGCCAGCTGCCAGAACAGGCCAAGCCAAGAGTCCCCACTGGGATAGCCACCAAGTGCGGGCCCAGCTGAAAGAAGGGCCACTCCTCTCCACCTCACATGAGGGGCCATGGAACAGCTGGGCCTCGGGCTCACTGCTCAGGCCTCCTCCTCCCCTGATCAGCTCCCATGAGCTCACAAGAGCATTCAGTGTTTGGCAGATGCCAAAATGGCCCATAAATATGACTGCATGAGTGAGCAGAGTCCAGCTCTGGGCAGCTCCAGCCAACTTATCTTCATGCAGCCTGTTGCCAGCATCTCAGGAAGTAACAGAGGGGAGGCCCTGTGGTGGCCACATGCAAACTGGCAGGGGCTTCTGGGATACAGTCGGGCATTTGGGGCAGCTGTAGGGAACCCTCTGGCGTGACTTGGACCTGACAGTGAGGTTGTGAGTAAATACAGTCTCTCCTTTCTCGCCTTCTGCAGCCCCAGAGACAACTCCATGGGGCTGGTGACTAGAAATGGCCAATATGGGAGAGGGTGGACATTGGGGCTGGGCCCACAGCCAAAGGCGATATGTACCAGGCCCATCCAGGACACTGATGCTCTCGCCTGTGACTTCTCTGCCTTGGTTTCTCTTTCTGATGATCTTGCCCCATGAAGGGCAGGGTGTATGGGCGGGACTTCATCACATACAGCCCTTTCCCCCTTGAGGCCAACCTCTGACATCGCATTCTGCACACAGTAGGTCCAGTCAGACCAGCCTGTCAGAGACCACTTCATAGGAGCTGAGCCTGGTGAAGGCACCTGCGAGGGCACCCCTCAGGAATCAGCCTGTCTTCCACAGCAGCCCCAGTCGAGGACTGAAGTTTTCTCTGCACGGGCTTTAAGGAGACAGCAAAGGGTTCACACTGCCAGCCGTGGGCTGGAGCAGGCATGCCTTTGGGGCTACACAAGGGCCTTTTGTTCCCAGAATCAATTGGGGCCACTATGGGGTCACAATGGAGGCTTTTCAAAGAGACAAAGCGCCTCTGGCCTGACTAAGTGTTCCTGCACACACACACGGGCATCTGCCCAGAGCGTTTAAAATAACACAATTTGAAAAAACAGATTTAAAGTGTACAATCTAGTGGCTTTTGTTCTGTGTCTGCCATGTGCAATGGCCTTTGTTCCATGTCTACCACGAGCAGTGATGGTGGATAAGAGCTGGGGTGCTGGAGGTGACACCGGGGCTCCCAGCTGGGACCTCTCTCCTTTGTCTTAGTTAACTGGGCATACGCACAGTGCCAGGCTCACTGGAGGACCCCAGAAAGGTCTGATTTGTGCATAGATGCCAAATGGGAAGAACTGTCCGTGCTTGGGAGACGCCAAGGATGCTGGGAGCCTTTCACTCCTCACTCGATCTCGGTTACAGAGGCTGGCCTGGGCCCTTTCCGTGACTGTAACAAAATACCCAAGACGGTCAACTGCATAAGGAGAAAGGGTTGTCTTGGCTCACCATGTCCAAGGCTTCAGTGCAGGATGGTCTTTTGGCCCGCTTCTTTGGGTCTGTGGTGGCACAGTACATGATGGGCAGAGCGCATGG